CACCTACTTCACTGCATGGTAGTTGTCCATTTACTTGTCTACACAGTCAGCTCCATGGTGGCATGTCTTACAAATTGATACATTCCCATAAATTAGCTCAGTGCTAGACTCTTCCTAGCACACACTTAGTAAAAGTTTGTCATGTGTTGACTGAAATAAGCTGCCTTCCTTCCCTAAGAGTTCCTTGGAAAACATTCCTTGAGGCAGCCAGTCCTGGCAAACAGTATATGGGAAATGAGGAAGCAGGGAGAGGTGGATCCATTGTAAACCTGAGGCCTGGAGACCCCCACTCTCTTATCCTTCACTTCTCCTTTGTGTTCTGTCTACAGATTCCTGCGAAAGCCTGAATGAGGGAGAAAAGGAAAGAGACAGCAATCCTGTGGGTGTCTGGAGCAGGCCAAGTCCAAGAAAGGCTCTGACGAACAACAGACCTGTGTTGGCTTTCCAGTAGATCATGGTGGGGTAGGGACGAGGGGCTCTGTAGTAAGAGGTGCGGACCATGGCTGCCAATCCTTGTGAGTAGGGGCTCTGTCTGAGGCATTGTCCCCAGGATCCCTTCTACAATTCTGCCAAGGGTGGGGTGGGTGTTGATAACGTGGGGGAGGGGTGTTGAGGGGCTGCTGAGGGAGGCTGAAGGGGCTGAGGAAGCTTTGAGAGAAGGCCCTTCTGTACAGCGTGCAGTGTGTGGGATGCTGTATGTTCCTCACCCCAAGGCAAACCTCCCCCAGGCAGCTCAGCCTAACAGAGAGTCTCCCACCGGCTGCAGTTCTGTCTGTGAGGAACTGGCACTGGCCTGGGTGAGTCTGCCTGTGGATTATGCCTGGCCATGAGGTACACTGAGGCTGGCATCCACACACCTTCCCCACATCATGCCCTTCTTACCCCAAAAAAGGCTTGCAAAGGTAAGACTGACTAGGAGAATGATAGGTGAAATGGATACTCAGGGCCCTGGCCCCCACAGCCCCAGGTCGTCCATGGGGGCATGTCTCCATTAAGGTGTCAGGTCGACCAAAATGGAAACACACAATACCCCCCACATCCCCTGCCACACACACACACACACACACACACACACACACACACACAGCAAACTAGCCATAGTTAAGGCCATGGCCAGCTACAGCCTCATGCTGTCCCTTCTGGCATCCACTGTAACACCCCTCCACCCCTTCTCTGCATCCTTTTCTTCTACTCTAGCCCCTGGTTTTTCTCTCCCATCTGTCCCCTCTGTTTGCCCTAGGTCAGTGACTTGGAAAACACCCCTCTTGCCCATTCAAGAGCACCATGACTGCAAACATTGTGTCTCTCCCTTTCCATGGAGAGACCTACCTTCACAACAGACATGTTCTCCAAAGCCCAAGCCTTTAACAACAGGGCTTCATACAACGACCACACAGCACATCTATTTCTGGACAACTCCCACCTACCCAGATTTTCCATCTGAGTCCACCATTCCCCTGATGCTCCAGCCTCCAGGAGCCAAGAGACTTACTAGGGTCCACATAGGCCCAGCTGGGGTGGAGAGGCACAGCCGAGGGGGCTGGGGGGAAGGCTCCCGCCTTCAGTCCCTCCCCAGAGGTGGCCTCCTCGTAGGAGGGTGGGGCCGAGGGCACTACTGGAGTCTCCTTCTTCTCACCATTCACCTGCTGCTGCCCCTCCGTCCCGGGGGCCTTGTTAGCCACGGAAAGCTGTGGAGCAGAAGGAGAGAGACAGTCATTAGGGAAAGGGCACCTTCCAAGTCCTCACCAGCCTCTCAGTTTCTGGATGGGTCCTTTCTCACCTGCAGTAGGAAGGACAGGACTTCAGACAAGAATCTCCCTATTTTACATGATACACACAGACACAGGAATATTATTCAGTCTTTAAAAAGACTGTTGTTCCATTTACAGCAACATGGATGAACCTGGAAGAAGTCATGCTAAGTGAAATAGGCTCAGCACAGAAAGACAAAAACTGCACAGTCTCACTTATATGTGGAATCTAAAATAGTCAAATTCAAAGAAGCAGAGTAGAATGGTGGTTGCCAAGGGTCTGGGGTGTGTAGGTAAAGGGAAAATATTGTTCAAAGAGTACAAAGTTTCAATTATGCAAGATGAAAACATGTGGAGATACAATGTACTGTATGGTGACTATAGTTAACAATATTGTATTGTATACTTGAAACTTGCTGAGAGGGTAGATCTTAAGTGTTCTTTCTACATACACAGAGGTAACCATGAAGAGATGGGTATGTCAACTAGCTTCATTGCAGTGATCACTTCATGATATATACATATATCAAAACATCAAGTGATACACCTTAAAGATATCCAATTTATATTTGTTAATTATACCCTAATAAAGCTGAAGGGAAAAAAGAGAATCTCCCTATTTCATAGATGTGAGAACTGAATTCCAGGACAGCCAGGGCTGGCCCAGGACACACACTGGAGCTGGAAAAAGAACTGAGGAAGGAGAAGATTCTTAGGGAAGAGCACCACTGGTGGTCATTGTGCCCAGAGCAGAGGCTGGGTCTAGGGTTCCACTGTTTCCCTGGGGTCTTAGGGAGGGCCTGACACAAAGGAGGCCCTCAAAAATATGATTGAATGAAAGGTTCTTTTATTTAATCTCTCTGCTACCTTGGTAGTTATATTTTGACCCCTGTTTTAAAGTAAGGGAACTGAGGATCAGAAAGAAAGAATGACTTGTCCAGGGTTATGAAGCCATGCATGGCCCACTGGGCTACAGAGCGCCGGCACCATGCACTGGAGTGGGCCTCCTCTGGGCTGGAGAAAACACAAGGAGGCTGGGGATGGCAGAGCGGGGGAACCAGGCAGAAAAGAGGAGGAATGGGGATTGCAGGTGGGGGAGAGCAAGAGGCCCTGGCTGAGGGTCCTGTTTTGGCTCTGACCTATGGGATCCTCAGCCTCTCATCCAAACCAGAAGAGAATCACAGACTGTCACCGCTGGAAGGGACCTCAGGAGGCATCTAGTTCTGCCCCTTCCTTCATTTTACAGAGGTGGAAACTGAGGCCTGAGGGAAATGTGCCACAGCAGGCTGAAGACTCGAGTTCATTTACTCTCAGGTGTACCCGTTGCCCCAGAGTGACATGTTTGGCTTTGGTGAGAGGATGTGAACTGGGAGGGCCTGAACAATGCTCCCAGAGAAGGCAAGGCTCAGGTGGAGGGGGTGGTATGAAAACAAAAACAGCAATGAAAGGATTGAACCTCAGAAAAAGAACGGGATTTAGGTCTGGTTACAAAAAGAACATGTTAAACCTGAAGGGCCACTGAGGAAGGCAAAGGGCTACTCTCTGCAGGGCCTGTCTAGCTGAGGCAGCCCAGGGGGCAGGCAAGCACCAGCTCTCGGCTTCCATCCAGCTCCAAGTCCACTGGACTGGAAGGGTCTTTTCCACCACCAGAAAGCCAGTGTGTGAGCTGGAGGCAAGGGGCAGAGGAGGCAGCATCAGTGAAGTGACTGGTGGAGGTGGCAGAGGGACAGGGTCAGCAGAGGGGAGCTCTGCACTGCCCCGCTGTGAACACCCCCCAGGCCTCCCAGGAGCCCCAGCCTGTGGGAATGGGGCGCTAGCTCATCTGCTTCCCTCTCATTCCCAACCTTCCTCATTACCCAGACTGGAAGGGTCATACCCAGGGAAATCCATTTCAGCCCACCAGAACCAAGGTCCTCTGAGCCAACCCAGGGCTTGTGCCTAGGAAAAGGATTACCACCTCTGATGGAGCCATTTCCGCAGCTGGTCCTCCTCACCAGCCCCTACCCTGCTCAGCCCCCAAAGTCTCCTGGGCCCTGCCCGCCATACACACACGAACATCCGGCATTCCCAAGTCTGCCCAGTGGCAGGAGGTGGTATCACTCAGTGACATCATTTGAGGCCTGATGAGCTTAAAAACAGGGAGGGGGGCCATCTGAGAACACAGAGAAGGATGCCATTGGCTCTGAGGCTCACCCTGGAGAAAAGAAGGGGGAGTACAGGGGAGGTCTCTCTTCTGTTTCATCTGCCCAATCCTTGGCACGCCCCCAAACAGAGTGCCAGGGCCCCCTCCCCCTTTGCCCCAGACCCTGGCAGTTGTATAATTCCACAGGCTGTTGATGTTACATAACCCTACTGGGCCAGTCAAGTCTCTGCCCCAGGGACCCCCTCCCCACATTTCAGGCCTAAAACTGGAGAAAAAGAGAAGACATTTTATCTGGTCCCGTCTAGTCCTAAACCCTGAAGATCAAAACAAAAATAAGAGCATCCTGATGCAGGGTTGCCATAGTAACCCTCCCAAGCATAGGGGATACATCCAGATGTGGAATTAAGAAAGAGAGTTGCAGGGGGGTGGGGGCGATCCTTTGGAGGGTACAAAAGATGAGCATGATAGGGCTGGGTTGGGATCCGGCTAGAGGAGCACTGGGGCCAGGCATTGCCCCCCAGGGTTTGCGCGCGCGCGCGCGCGCGCGCACACACACACGCGCGGACGCCTGGCTGACTCCTTGAGGGAGCCTGGGCGCCTGTGAGGGGGCCTGTGATGCCATCCTGGCTTAGGCAGGATGGGAGGAGAGGAGCCTGGTGGGTGGGAAGGGGCCCCCCAACCCATTCCTTGAAATGGGCCTTTCGGGTCTCTGGCTTCAAACAAGGACCACAGAGGACCTTCGCACCAGAGCTTGGGGAGGATGCTTAAAGTGGTCCAGAGGGCTTGCGGAGGATGGCAGGGGCAGGGGAGCCGGAGGAGGGAGGGTGAGGCAAGGGTAGGGGGACGCCGGTACCTTTCCCTGGGTCATGGTGCCGTCTCTCGGGGAAGGGGGTCCCTGAGGCAGGGGTGGCCGCCTGGGTCACCGTAACCGACCTGCGTCTCGTCCTCCCTCCGCGTGGGTTCTAGCAACATCCACTGCAGCCGGGCCGGGCGGACCGGAGCGTACCATTCGGGCGCGGGAGGAGGGGGCCGGGGGCGGGCCGGGAGGCTGCTTGCGGAGGCCGCTGCGGATTCGCGAGCCCCGAGGAGGAGGCGGCGCCCCGCCCCCTCCCGTCCCTCCCCGGTCCCCTCACCCCGGGCCCGCAGCGGGCTGCGGAGCCGCCGAAGTGGTTGGGTCCGCGCGGGTGGGCAGGAGCGGGCGTGGGGACGTCGCCGCGACACCCGCCCAGCTGATGCTGCCTGCCTGTAACAGGAGCTGGGTATCCGGGGCCTTATCTCTGCACCGTCTCTGCTGCTGACAGGCTTGCCTCTGCCTTTCCCCTCCCTGTTTGGATGCGGCCCTGATTTCTGCCTCTATCTCCACCATCACCGCCATCATTTATTTCATCATCCAGGGCAGACTGGGGAAAGTCTGTCTAGTCTACCTTACTTGGCTTCTAACAGGGCCCCTGGGCCTTAAGTTACAGTGGGCCTTTGGGCAAAGCATGTAGGCACCCTCCTTGCCTTCATTTTCCCATCTGTGTAATGGGAGCAATAGGCCCTTCCCTACCTTGTCACAGGAGTTGGTATGATGGGATGCAGCTCCTGCTTTTTTCAACCCTGCTGGAACATTTAATCAGGTCTTTTTGGAGAGACCTCTAATCTGTCTCGGAGTCTCTCCAGGCTCCCTTCCTGCCTCTACTCTCAGCCTCCCTCACCCCTGGTCTCCATCTTCCTCCCATTCTAGAACTGGGCCTATTCCCCTTCCCACACCTGCCCTTGGGACCCAGCCATCACTGGGCCCCTTTCCACAGCTGCTGCAGTGTTCCTGTGGGTTTGCAATCTCCAGAACTGGGCTGGACTCCCAGTTTAGTCACCCACTGGCCGTGTGACTTTGGCAAGGCCTTCACCTCTCTGAGCTGAGCTATGGCTAGGGGCTAACAGTGGGGCTCTGCGCATCCTAGACTGACTCGGAGGCACACAGGTCATGGCACCAAAGCACACTGAAGACCATGAAGCACTGTGAGTATATGAGTTGTTATTAGCTGAGGACTCTCCTACCAGCACGTCTTGGGCTGTGCCAGGGTGAGGAACCCAGATCTGCCTAAAAGAAGGATCAGAACTTCATAGGATGGGATGGGAAACCAAGACCTGGTGCAGGGGTGGGGGTGAGGGGTGACCCCTTACCTTCTGCTTCCCTGTCATGTCCCAGCTAGACTCACCTAATGACCATGTGTGAAAGCAGGGTCCTGGTGGGGGTGAAGTACTGAAGGCTTTATTCCACCTCTGCTCACCCTTTGTCCCCCACTCCATAACCACCAACTTCCCACATGCAAGCCTCCCTGTCCTGAGGCTTGCTCAGGCCATGAATATGAGCCCCTCTCCTTCCTCCTCCCAGTTCCCTCCTTCTCCCCAATCCCTTCCTCCTGCAAGCCACCCTCCCCACCCAGTCCCCAGCACTGCTGCTCAAGCTCTGCCTGGCCATTCCAGGTTCTGGCCTGCTCCTCCTCTGCAGCTGTGTTCTGGAGTTTTCCTTTTCCTGTTTGACAATTCAAGTGCCACCTCCTCCAGGAAGCCTCCTTGGCTCCTCATTCAGATTAGATATTCTCTTCTGTGGTTTCATAGTACCCGGTCAGTTGGCACTGTGGAGTTTCTGTCTCTTTCCCTGGTAGACTCTAAGAGATCCTATTTGCAGCAGTTTTTGTATTGACAGGACTGTGTACCATGCCAGCCACGAGAATGTGCTCACTAAATCCAAGCTATTACTACTGCCTGGACATGTGGTGTTACACAGAGCCTGAATTTATGTAGGCCTCAGCATTCTCATGTGTTTGTGAATCTCACTGTTCCTTCTCTCCCCATTCACTCCAGCCCAGCCAGCCACACAGGGCTCTTGGCTGTTCCTCTGCTGAACCAAGCATTCCTCTAGCTCAGGTACTTTGTGTTTGCTGTGTCCTCTGCCTGGAATACCTACAGATCACTGCATGGCTCACTCCCTCACTCATGGCTGTGTTCAGAATCATCTGAATCTTTCTGATCCTATACAAGTCACAATGCCACTAACTTCCCCCTGCTAGATCACTGAACAGTGCCTTTTTCCTAAACCAGCTTAATTTTTCCATGGCAGTTGTCACCTTTGAAATAATTTTGTGTTTAGTTGTTTGGTCTTTTTCTTGCTCTCCCACTAGAAACTCAGCTTCATGAGAGGAAGCATCTTGGGGGCTTTGTCGTCACACTGTACCCATGGGCTGAAATAGTGCCTAGTGTGGGGTGCTGGCAAATGTTTGGCTGAGTAAAGTCCAGTATACAAAACCTTTGCATTCCTCAGACATTTTGACATGTCAGTGCTCCGATGTTTCTCAGATGTTGGACTCTGTTGCCTTAATATCACTTATATGTCCCTATGTCATGGTCTTTGGACATTAGATACTGGAATGTTTGTCTAACACTCCTTTAGCAGGAGGAGGAGAAGGGAGTGGTGGTGGGGGGATTTTCAAGGTTTTTTGAGCAGGGGAACCACATGTTCAAAGTCATGCTTCAGAAAGACCAAACTGCTGCAGTAATTTTTGTCATTAAAGCATTTTCTCTAACTAGAAGGGAAGAAGGATCACTCTGTGAGCAACGTGTGGGAGGGATTGAATGAGGGCGACTGAAGCCACGGGGAAGAGCATGGAGACTCTGAGAGGGCTCCTGTGACAGCCTTGGGGCCCAGGCTTCCATGCAGGCTGCCTGGCTCATATCCTGGCCCCGGGAAAGCTGCTTCACTGCTCTGTGCCTCAGTTTCCTCGTCTGTAAAATGAGGGCTGTGAATTAGTATTGGTAAGGCACTTAGAATGGAGCCAGGCATTTAACAAGTGCTCCATATGTGTTTGATAATTGGAAAATAGACAAGTGGTCCAGGGACAGAAAAGATGGAGAAAGACACCCAGCTTGGGCAGGACTGACAGGATTTGAGAGGAGGCTGGACATGGGATACAGAGAGAAGGACAATCAGAAGAGTTGCCAGGAGGATGGTGCCCTAATTAACAGGGAAGAAGAAGCAGATGTGTCTGGGTGGGGTCAGGCTGAGTTTGTAGTGCTTGTTGGACATCTAGGTAGAGATATCCCGCTGGCAGTTGGCTAGAGGCTCCTGGTGCCCAGGAGAGGGGTCCAGGCAGGGCCTTATAGAGCTTGGGGGCACCTTGCAGTGTGTTCTAGGAGAATGCCACTGCGTTTCCTGTCCTAGAGCCCCTGGGGCCTCACTGAGTTCAGCAGTGTGGCAGCTGGGCACAGGGCAGAATTTGAGGTTTGGGACTTGTTAGTTATTAGTACATGGACAATGGCTGAACCACAGAGTATGTGAGGGTGTCCCTGGACAGTGAGGCCAAAGGGAGAAGAGAAGAGAGCAGGCCTAGGGCAGCACCTGTGGGAGGGGACAGAAGGAAGTTCTTCCCTCCGTTCAGAATCTTCTGTATGGTCCTCAATGACCAGGCCAAGGTGAGAGTGGAGAAGGTCAAAGGCCAGGTGTCAGTGGTATCAGGGCTGCTCCCGGGGGCGGGGGAGACTTTGGTCCTCAGCTGTTTCCTCTCCCCTCCTTTCAGGCCCACACCGTGGTGGCCCAGCCCATCCTTGTTCTGCTCTGGTTGCTGGCCAGCTCTGTGACAAGTGCCAGGGAGGGGAGGGGGCCAAAGGTGTGGACAGAGGCGATGCTTCTCATTTTACAGCCATAGAAGCAAAAGGCCAAAGAGAGTGAGTGACTAACCTGAAGTTGCATGACATGGGGGCCAAGCCGAGGTGAAGAATGGATGTGACACCAGCTCAGGGATGACATTTTGACTAGGTGTTGGGGAGAGGCTGGGAGGTTCTCAGGCTTCCTAGGTGGGCAGAATCAGGTCTATCCAGGTACCTCTCCCCAGCCAACCCCCCACCCAAACCTGCACACTCAGCCTGCAACAGCCCTGCCCCAAGGGTGAAGAGAGAACCTGTGCATTTGAGGCCAGTGACTGGGGGAAGGGGCAGAAGTAGAAGCTAGAGCCCAGGTTGCTCACAGTAGGCAGGTTTCTCAGGGCAGGCTGCAAGAGGTAGTGGTCCAGGTGCGCCAGGCATACCAGTGCACCCTCCTGCATATCCCTGGGCCTCCTATTTCAAAGCCTGTCATTGCTCTGTGGGTCCCTGGGCCCCTACACCCTCACTGCTCTCCATACGGGCCCTTCCTCCCTCCCCCTTCCCCTGCTCCACCCAGTAGCCATACAGCAAAGAACCTGACATTCTGTGCTGGCCAGCCACAGCCTGGTTGCACAACCTTTCTATGCTGGGGTTTCCATTCCTGCCTCTCCACCTCCCTCACGCCATGACGCACTGCGTCCCCAGATGCGGTCTCCACTGGGACATGAAGCCTTTGGCAAATAGTAACACCTTGAATCACCCTTCTTCCCAGATGTAGGGATTGCTTATAATGTGAAACCACATTCCTGTCTCTCCTGAACCCCACTCCTGCGCTTTCGCTGGGAGCTGGGGCAGGGGGAGCAAGGAGCAGGAGAATCAGTTTCCAGGCTCCTCACCCCCAGCACCACCTGCTCCACTGCTCTCAGCAACGCTCAGGCCCTGAGAGATCATTCCCTTGCCCCCGGGCCTTGGTGCTGGTGCCGGCCCTCCCTGATGCCTGGGATGGCCGTGGGGTCTTTTGTGATCACATGTTGTGCTGTGTCCATGTGCACTTCTGCTTCTCTGCCAGGAACGCTCCTTTAAGGTAGGACTGGGTATCTCAAGCCTTTCAGCCCCCATCCCATTTCTTACCCCAAGTAGAGTTCAGGGGTGAAGAATACAGGCTTTGGAGTCAGGTCCATCTGGAAGTGACCTTGTCACTTCCTAGATGAGTGATCTCAGGCAAGTCATTAAACCTCTCTGAGCTTAGTTTTCCCATCTGTAGAATGGATATTCATTAATTAATTCACTCATTCAACCAATATTTATTATATATCTACTATAACTCAAGCACTGATGTACATACAGCAGTGAACACAAAAGATGTAAATCTAATGCCCTGTGGGGCTTACTTTTTACTCAGGCAAATTAGTACCCATCTCAGAGGGTGACTGGGAAGATTCAATGAGCAAATGTATGGACAAGGCTGAGCACAGTGCCTGACATGGTAGGCCTGATGGTGAGAGCTGCTGTTGTGAATACACTTTCAGAACCATTTATCGAGAACTTACTATGTGCCAACTCTGCACTAGGTGCTAGGGAAACAAAAATGTGGAAGAGCCATCCACTCACAGTTTAATGCAGCTGCTGTTTATTGAATGCACACCACATTCATCATTATACAGAAGCTTATAACCAGCACCGACTTGTACTACATGCTATGAAGAACCATAAAATTCTAGAGTGTCAGGTGCAGCAGAGACCGCTGTTTGTCCCTCCGTGCTCTTTGGACAAATCTATACATGATTGATGAGTATCAACACTGTGCTTTTGGGAGGTTCAGAGAAAGGAGTGGTTACATTTGGTTGGAACACCAGAAAGGATAAGGAGAGGTGGCTTTTGAACTGCATCTGGAAGAAAAGGGGAGGGTTCAACAGACGGAGACAGTGGTGGCAGGGATAGGAAGGGAGGCCCTTCAGGGAACCAGAATGGCATACAAATAAAGGCATGGAGGAAGGAAAATGTGAGGCACCGATTTTGTGCTTAATCCCCAAATGGCCTAGCCCAGGGTGAGGCCGGAGGCTGATCCAGGCAGGCAGCTGTATTCACAGGCAGAGGAGACAACTACCCAAGAGCTGTCTGAGGGGGTCTGAGGGTCTCAGGAGGCCACCATTAGAAAGTTATTCCCTTGGGTAAACCTTCAGCCTCCAAGAGGTCCCTGGCAGAAGGCAAACCATCCCCAGAGGAATAATATGGAAGGATGGTTCTAGGCCAAGGAGGGAGTGGTGGGGAAAAGAGACCTGGGAACATCAGAGAGTGGGGTGATGTGACAGGGGCAATAATAATAGCTACTGTGTGTTGAGCACAACACATGAGGCACTGAGCAAGTGTGCTGCACAGACTGTTTCATTTTGTCCTGACAACAGTGGTGGGTCCTCTTACCATCTCCACCTTACAGACAAGGAAACTGAGACTTAGAGAGGTTAAGTGACCTGCCCAAGGTCTCCACAGCTGGCAGGCAGCAGCCAGACCCTGGAGCCCAGTTCTCAACAGCCAGGCAGTCCTGCTCAGACACTGCTTCCTCACCAGTGAAATGGGGTTAATGGCCACTTGCTCCTTTACGGAGCTGTGAGGCTTCAGTGATGAAAGTAAAATTCCCTCGGTGGTGTGACATGTTGTAGGTACCTCACACATGCCGTGTCTGTTCCTTTTCTCCTGAGGGGAAACTCCATTTCATGAGCCAGGAGCCTCATAAATATTTCATTGGTGAAGCTGGGAAGGCTGTCTCTGCAGCACTGTGACAGTGAGGCATCTCAGGCTCGTTGCAAGTGTCTTATCAGCCTTATTAAAAAAAAAAGACCTTTCTTCGGAACAGTTGGCAGCCACTAGCATGTGACAGATCTGCAGGCTTTTTCTGGAGAGAGGTCAGGGCGTAGCTGGCCTGGGGTCCCATCTCCCAAATAAACCATGGCCAGGGCCGGACAGCCACCCGTGTGCTCCTCCACCCCACATGCTAGAGTGCACCGGGGCCTGTGTCACACAAGGGGGCCTGGGAGGGCTGCAGGGAGCCCACAGAGGAACACAGGGAAGTAGGTTGTGCCCTGACAGCAGCAGTTGAAGCTGGAATTGAGGGCAAGTTGACCTGGGCCAGGGCCTCTGGGGAACTTTGAATTCTTTTTTTTTTTTTTTTTAATTGTAGCAAGAACATTAACATGTGATCTACCTTCTTAACGCAATGTTAAGTGCATGAAGCAGTATTGTTCAGGCATGATGTTGTACAGCAGACCTCTAGAACTTAACTGAAACATTATACTCTAATAGTAACTCTCCATTTCCGCCTCTCCACTTAGCAACGACCATTTGACTCTCTGCTTCTATGGGCTTGACTATTTTAGATTCTTCACAAAAATGGAACCATGCAGCATTTCTCCTTCTGTGACTGGCTTATTTCACTTAACATAACGTCCTCAAGTTTCATAAATGTTGCCACATATGGCAAGATTTCCTTCTTTTTTAAGATTGGATAATATTCCATTGTGTACATATATGACATTTTCTTTATCCCTTCATCCATTGATGGACATTCAGATTGTTTCCACATCTTGGCTATTGTGAATAGTGGTGCAGTGAACATGGGGTTCTAAATATCCTTTTTGATAAATGCCCAGAAGTGGGATAGCTGGGTCATATAGTAGTTCTAGTTTAAAATTTTCGAGAAACTACCACACTGTTTTCCCTAGTGGCTGCACCATTTTACATTCCTGCCAACAGTGTACAAAGGTTCCAGTTCTCCACATCCTCACTTGTTATTGGTTTCTTGGTAATACCTATCCTAACAGATGTGATGTGGCATCGCATTGTGGTTTTGATTGGCATTTCCCTGGTGACTAGTTACATTGTGCATGTTTTCATACACCTGCTGGCCATTTGTCTGTCTTCTTTAAAGAAAAGTCTATTCCAATTCTTTGCCTCCTTTTTAATCAGGTTATTTGGCTGGGTATTTTTGCTGTTGAGTTGTAGGAGTGCCTTACATATTTTGAATATTAACCCCTTAGCAGATATATGGCTTGCAAATACTCTCTCCCATCCCATAGTTAGTCTTTGCACTCTGTTAATTGTTTCCTTTGCTGTTCTGCTGATGCAGAAGCTTTTCAGTTTGATGTAGTCCCATTTGTCTATTTTTGCTTTTGTTATCTGAGCTTTTAGTGTCATATCCAAGAAATCATTGTCAAGATCAATGTCATGAAATTTTACCCCTGTGTTCTTTTAGGAGTTTTATAGTTTCAGGTCTTATGTTTAAGTCTTTATTCCATTTTGAGTTGATGTGTGTGTGTGTGTGTGTGTGTGTGTGTGTGTGTATTTTAAGGTAAGGGTCCGATTTCAGTTTTCCCACACCATCTGTTAAAGGGACTATATTTTCCTTGTTGTGTGTTCATGGCACCCTTTTTGAAGATCAGTTGACCATATATGTGTGGGTTTATTTCTGGGTTCTCTATATTGTGTTCCACTGGTCTTTATTTCTGTATTCATGCCAATACTCTGCTGTTTTAATTGCTATAGCTTTGTAATATATTTTAAAACCAGGATGTATCATGCTCCAGTTTCGCTCTTCCTTCTCAAGATTGTTTTGGCTATTCAGGGTCTCTTGTGGTTCCATACACATTTTAGGATTGCTTTTTCCATATCTATAAAAAATGCCATTGGGATTTTGATAGGGATTGCATTGAATCTGGAGATCATTTTGGGTAGTGTGCACATTTTAACAGTATTAAGTCTTCTGATCCATAAGCATGGATGGCCTTCCAGTTATTTGTGCCTTCTTTAATTTCTTTCATCAGTGTTTTATAGTTTTCAGTGTACAAGGTTTTTGCTTAAATTTATTCCTATTTTATTCCTTTTGATGTTACTGTAAATGATACTGTTTTTTAAATTTCCTTTTCACATAGTTTGTTGTTAGCATGTAGAAAAGCAATGAATTCATATGTTGATTTTGTATCCTGTAACTCTAATGAATCCATCTATCAGTTTTAACAGCATTTTTTTTTTGGAGTTTTTGGGGGGTTTCTACATATAAGATCATACCATCTTCAAACAGATAATTTTACTTCTTCCTTTCCAGTTTGGAATCCTAAAAGAACACACAGGGATAAAATTTCAGTTTTCAACATTGAATATGACATCAGTGATGGTTTTTTCCTATATAGCTGTTATTAGTTTATTTCTACATATAAGATCATACCATCTTCAAACAGATAATTTTACTTCTTCCTTTCCAGTTTGGAATCCTAAAAGAACACACAGGGATAAAATTTCAGTTTTCAACATTGAATATGACATCAGTGATGGTTTTTTCCTATATAGCTGTTATTAGTTTGAAATAATTTCCTTCTGTTCCCAGTTTGTTGAGGGTTTTTATCATGAAAGGGTGTTGAATTTTGTTGATGCTTTTTCTGCATCTGTTGAGATGGTCATGTGATTTTATCCTTCACTCTGTAAATTGTATCACATTCTGTTAATCTGTATAAAATGAATTGATTTTTGGATGTTGAGCCAGCCTTGTATCCCAGGGGTAAATTCCACTTGGTCATGTTATATAATCGTTTTAATGTGTTGCTGAATTTGATTTTCTAGTATTTTGTTAAGTGCTCTGGCATCTATGTTCATCAAGGGTGTTGACCTATAGTTTTCTTTTCTTGTAGTGTCTTTTTCTGGCTTTGATATCAGAGTGATGCTGGCTTCACAAAATGAATTTGGAAGTGTTCCCTCCTTTTCAGTTTTTGGGAAGAGTCTGACAAGGATTGGTGTTAATTCTTCTTTAAATGTTTGGTAGAATTGTTGGGAGGTTTTTGATTACTGTTTCAATAGCCCATTCGGATATTCTATTTTTTCATGATTTCGTCTTGGTAAGTTGTATGTTTCTAAAAGTTTATCCATTTCTTCTAGGTTATCCAATTTTTGGCATTGGAAGACTGAATTATGATAGGCTCCCAATCTATTCAGGTTGGATGCACATGGATGAAGCACATAACATACACAGAAGCAGAGAGAGGAAAGGAAGGGAGGGTATGATGGGAAACTGTACAGTGAGACCTCTCAAGGTGCATCTCCTGGTTGAGGACTTTGTGATTTCAGATACTGGGGGATGGGAGTCAGGGAATGGAATAGTTTGACTGGGTCACCAGGAAGACAGAAGAGCAGGACTTTGCTGAACCAAGGCGTTCAGTGCAGTTGAAGACTTCAGGCTCTAGCTTGCTCGGTCACCCACTCCACAATGTGCAGAGAGCCCTATGGCATGTAAAACACTGAGGCAGACCCCGTGTTGATGCCAAGATGCAGCCCTCACCCTCAAGATGCTGGAGAGGAGAGAAGACAAGCCAGTGGTTAATCTCAAGGTGGTCAGGCTGTGTGGTAAGAACCATAACAGAGGAAAGTGATGGAGAGCAAGGCCCAGGAAACCCTCAGGCTGGCATTTTCACTGATCTTTGAAAACCAGGCAGGATTTTTTTTGATATCTATTAATACAGATTACTTTGTCCAGTTATACAAGTAATTAATACATGTTTATACTTTTAAAACTTTTAAGAAAATGTATAAAAGTAGAAAGAAGAAAGTAGTTACCCAGCTCCAAAACCCAGAGAAAACCATGGTTAAAATATAGGTGTGTTTTCCCCTATGTTAAGCAACCTAAGTGTCCATCGATGGATGAGGAATAAAGAAGATGTGGTACATATACACAATGGAATATTATTCAGCCATGAGAAGAAAACAAATTCTACCATTTGCAACAACATGGATGGAGCAAGAGGGTATTATGCTCAGTGAAATAAGCCAGGCGGAGAAAGACAAGTACCAAATGATTTCACTCATCTGTGGAGTATAACAGTGAAGCAAAATTGAAGGAACAAAACAGCAGCAGATTCACAGACTCCAAGAAGGGATTAGTAGTTACCAAAGGGGAGGGTGGGTGGGGAGGGAGGGAGAAGGGGACTGAGCAGTATTATGATTGGCACACATGGTATGGAGGGTCACGGAGTAGACAGTGTAGCACAGAGACAAGTAGTGACTCTGTGGCATCTTATCATGCTGATGGACAGTGACTGCAATGGGGTATGGAGGGGAACTTGATAATATGGGTGAATGTAGTAACCACATAGTTTTTCATGTGAAACCTCCATAAGAGTGTATATCAATGATACCTTAATAAAAAAGAAACAAAATTAAAATATGTAAATAAAATAATCCAGGCAGTAAAAAAATATATATATGTAGGTGTGCTTCTTCTGGTCTCTTTTCTGTGTTACCCTGCTTTCTTTTTTCACTTAATTTTGTAGCTTAGGCATGTAGAAGGCAGCATTTTGGCAGGTTCATTTGGAGGAAGTTATGGAAAGGCAGCAGCAAGGAGGAGGCACAGGATGAGGGTGTGTGTCTCTGGGCTCTTTCTGTGCCCACATGAGGGTTATTGAGCCCACAGGCAGGCTGGACCTTTGAGCAATCTGGGCCCCCACCCATTAGCTCCCTGACTGGTTAATAGGCCACACCCTTGGCCTAGCCTCAACTCATTTTCCTGTCTGGCACCATGAGCTGGGTTCTGGGCAGGATCATGAGGCTGCAGCCACCCTTCTTCCCAGCAAAGTCCTTCAGGGAGACAGAGCCTGTTTTCTTGGGTAATGAAGTTAAGTCATCTCCAAAACTCAGTAAAGCAGATCAAATGCCAAGATTGATCATCTAGATCTGTGTGTCCAGTATGGCAACCACTAGCCTCATGTGGCTGTTAAGCACTTAATACCTGAGTAATTAAACTGCAAAGTACTGTTAAGTGTAAAAGACACACTGGACTTCCAAGACAGTATGAAAAGTGAATATCAAATATTCATAATTTTTTATATGACTACATGTTGAAACGCTAATATTTTGCACATAGTGGGTTAAATAAAATATATTATTAAAATGAATTCTACTTGTTCTTTTTGCTTTTTTTCATGTGGGTATTGATTTAAATTACATACATGACTCACATTTCTGTCTCACGTATTTCTTTCTATGGAACTGTTCTGATCTAGACGGGACCATTCTACACTCCCTACTCTTCCGAAGGAAAACCCACAGGGGAGACACAGAGAGAGACTGTGACACAGCCAGACTAGGCTGGAGGTGGACAGGGATGTGTAGGGGTAGCCAAGCCTGGGTTTCCTGGGAAGAGAGGAGTATGGGGCAGGTTATTTCCTCTTTGGGTGTTCATGTGTCTGCCTCCCTCTGGAGCAGACTGTGAGCTCCCTGAGATAAATAAAACCTTGCTTTAGTCCTCTTTATAGCCTCAGAACCAAGTACAGTGCCTGCCACACAGTAAGTGCGTGAAAACATGCCCTGAATTAAAGAATGAGGTGAGGAATAGGACGGACAGAGAATCCAAACAGCAGAGAATAGTGCTGAGATGGTGCTAGGCCCGCCTGGGTGGCTACAGCACTCCGGATATTTAGAGATTTTATCCTTAAATCCTTTAGGCTATAATCTCCAAAAAGCAAGGAGGCCAAACGCATGTATATTTCTCAGAAGCTGGAAGACAATTGGGTGCAGGCCGTAAGGACACCCCAAGGTCGTTGTTTCCAGTTTCCTGCCTTTTTCCTCCTTTCAAAGGAGCAGATTCTTCGGGCTCCTGCAGTCAGCCTGTCGCTCTGGCCTGGGCCCTCAGCGTATCGCACATACACTGCGAGAGAGGTCAGCGGGGTCCCCCACACTGAGGCCTGGATGGTGAAGGCTGCTGGTGCGGCAGGGGAAGGAGGAAGTGTTCTGCTGCTCCCGCTGGGCCCAGCTCTGCCCCGCTAGGGCCCCACCCTCACCCAATTCATGGATCGGTGACTCTCAGGAGCACCCTTCAACGTACCTCAGCTCTTGAGGTGGGGTCCTCCAGCAGGTTCCCACAGGCCCCACCCTCAGCGGGCCTGTTGGGTGGGTGGCTAGTGCTGTGTGCTGAGAAGCAGCCTCTTGTAGAACTTAAGCACCAGGACTCTGGAGACGGACACCTGGGTTCAGATCTCAGATTCTCCACGTACTGTGTGTTACCTGGGCAAGTTAACTAACCTCTTTAGGCCTTAGCTTCCTGACCTCTAAAACGGGCATAATACAGGGGTTCCCTGCCCATAAGGTTGTTCAGAGATTCAATGACTGAAAACAAATCAGGACTTAGAACTGTGCCTGGCACATGGTAAACAAAGTTAGAAACAGACCATCCCTCACTTTACCACTAGGGCAATGAGCCCCAAGGAGAACCAATAATCAGACACAGTTATAAACACAAAATTATTTTGTATCATTGGTTTTTCCTGATAGCTCTTATTATGGAAGATTTCAAACATGCAAATATGGAGTGAATAACATAATGAACTCCCATGTGCTCATTACCCTACTTCAGTGATAATCAGTTCATGGCCCACTAAATTTCATCTACAGCTCCGCCATTCCCCTGGTTCTTTTGAAGCAAATCTCAGGCATTATGTAATTTCATCTGTAAATATTTCAGTATGTATCTCTAAGAGAAAAGGACTTTTAAAAAATAGCTACATTACCATTAGTAGACCTAAAAAGTTAACACTAATGTGTTAATATTACCAAGTACCCATTGTTCAAAAATTTCTAAATTAATTTGTTTAAATCAGAGTCCAAAGGAAGCCTTATTACTGCAGATAATTGATGCCTCTTTTAAACTATAGGTACCCTTTTTTTCTTTTTTCTCCCCTTTACAGTTTATTTGTTGAAGAAACTGGGTCATTTGTCTTATGGAGTTTCCCACAGTCTGGAGTTTGGTTACATCCCTGTATGTAGAGGCTTGATGTGATTCAGGTTCAACATTTGGGAAAATTCCTCCACAGGTGGTATTGTGTTCCATCAGGAAATACACAATGTAAGCAGCTGTTGATGATTAATGCTTAGCTCCATTATTTCATAAGGGGTTACAAAATAGTGATATTCTATTATTCCTTCTACCTTTAATAGCTGAAATACTTACACTGAGACAAACTTCCCTCTCTCTACTATTTGGCTAATTTGGAATTACCTTTTGCAAACCACACAGGACAGGCAGATCAGTGCCTAAGTCTCTCCCCTTTATTTACAATTTTCAAACTACTGAATTACTTCCTTAGTTTCTCCATCTCCAAGTGTCAGTGTTTTGTTTTGTTTTTTAAGTCATGAACTCATGGATTTAAATAGGTTTGAAATGTTTGGACTCATTGTCATGATAGTTAGGATTTTTTTTTTCCAGCTGGCATCCGATTTTCCCAGTGCTGGCCTACAGTTGGTGCATAATTCATGAGAATTACCAGTGGTTGTAGAGGTAACTCCCATGACAGTGAAGGATGGGGCAAGGAACTACCCAGGAAAAGGGCAGGCCCTGGCAGGTGGGAAGATCAAGGCAGGGCCCAGACGGTGAGCTGGGCTCCCAGATCTGGCACACAGGGGAGGGGACAAAACTCCTATGGCCGCTGTGGTTTCTCCCTCCCCAGGGTCTCCCTCACCTCCTGAGACACAGACCTCTTGCCTAGGAGTGCACCTGTTCTTGCTGAGTTCTATTTCCACTGCTGTTATGGTTCTCATCCTAACTGATTCTTCAGTCAGTAAGGGCAGGAAAATTCCCTCTGCTTCTCCAGAGTCTGCTAGCCCGGATGGCCCTCAGGTAGTCCTCAAGGACAGGACAGGCCCCATGTCTGGTAGGGAGGGCAGAGATCCTGGGTGCAGTTGGGAGGGGCCGTATCAGTAAGATCACTAAGAACAGAAACATCAGCTATGATCTCCCATGCCCAGGTAGGGGCCAGGCACTACCTCGCCCATCCTCACAGTGTCCTGAAGAGGTGGGTCTTGTTACCATCTCCATTTTTCAGATGAGCAAACTGAGGCTAGGGGAGGTTAAGCAGTTTTGCCCAAAGTCATGCCCCAGGTAAGAGGCAGAGCCAGGAGTCTAACCCAGTCTGCTGAGCTCCACATCAGGTACAGATAACGAAGAAGCAGGGTGCTGAGGAGGCAGGTGATGCTGGAATTCTCCAGGTAGCAAAGGGAGGGGGGCATTACCAGCAGAAGGAACAGTTTGTGCAAAGGTGTGGAGGTGTGAAAGAGTATGGCCTGTTCAGAGTGGTGACTAACTCTGGGGCCAGAGTGAAGGGAGTGTAGGGAGGAGTGCTGGCAGATGGAGTGGGGGGTGTTGGGCCATATAGAAGAAACTCAGGTTCCAGGCCAAGGAGCTGGGACTTTGACCTTCAGGACTGGGGGGTCCATGGGAGGCATTGAATAAGAGGGCTGATGACAGTGATAACTTGGGTTTGTATGGCGGCCTGCAGTTTACAAGGAGCTTCTGGAGGTACATTATCAGGTGGAAGCCTCATGTCAATCCTTATAGTTAGCCTATTTTACAGATTAACAAACAGACTCAATGGTTATAGCCGTGCTCTGGCCACAAAGCCATTAATGACTGGCCTCAAGCCCAGTGCTATATTCACCACAGGACATCTCTCCAAAGCTCAGGGCATAATGAAAGAAGCAGGGGCATCCTTCAGCTCCTGATTTCTCCAGCCCGCTCCCGCTCAGCCTTGCTGGAGAGTGTCAGAGGATGTCAACTGGGCCTAGGTCCCAGTATCACCTTCCAAGACTATGACAGTAAGTAATAAGAATGAACATTCATTGATCTCTCTGTGTGCTTGGTTAACTGGGTTAGGAGAAAACCTAGCAGAGATCAATAGCACCAGGCACTCTATTTGATA